AGTCTAGGAGCAAGGAAAAGGTAAGAATGTGCTGCTGGGGAGGGGGACAATAAAGCAAACTATGAGCAAAGTATAGGTTTGCTTTAGAATCTTCTTTTCATAAAGCCCCTTTCAACCTATAGTTCTAAAGGTATGCATTATGGACAAACGTTTGTGGACACTTGACCATCACACCTATTATGTAATCGAAAGAATGTGAACATCTGTACAAATTGTTGAGTTTAGATTTTGTTCATTGAAGGGTACTGTTAATGCTGCAGAATACAAAGTAATATTAAACAAATGTGTACTTCAAACCTAGTGGTACCAGTTTGGAGAAGGTTCTTTCCTGTTCCAACAGGAGTGCCCCCCTGTGCACAAAGCCAAGCCCAGGAAGACATGGTTTAATGAGTTTAGTGTGGAGGAACTTCAGTGACCTGCACAAAGCCCTGACCTTAATCTTACTGAACACCTTTGGGATGCACTGAAATGATTGGAAGTCAGGTCTTCTCATCAAACATTATTAGCATACATTTTCTTTGACTAAATGGACTTTCTAGAAGAAAGGAAACTGGTTATGGCCACAAATGGAAAAAGGCGGTAAAATCCATATTAATGCCAATGGTATTGGAAAGGGATGTCCAACAAGCCCAAATAAATGTGATGTTCAGGTGTGCACAAGCTTTTGGCCATATAGTACATCTATACAGCTGAAAGAATTGATACACTGCCAAAGGAATATCTTGATTATATAGTGTAAAAAAAGACAATAAAGCCCCATATACACGGATGCTTACCATTTTCTATGTGCTGCGGAATGGAATACCCAGCGCGGAGTCCATACAGCTGCCAATGCAAGTCATTGGGTCTACATGGCCATGCTTGGCTAAGTGACAAATAGCAAAGCCCACTGCATCCTAGCAACGGAGGGGACATGTTTAAAAAAATGACATAGAAATTAACTTATGTTCTTTTTTATGACTTTATAATATTATTGTTCTAGGCAGTGGACAAATCCAGCTGTGGCAGTTTCTCCTGGAACTTCTTTCAGACAGCTCCAACTCTAACTGCATTACTTGGGAAGGAACGAATGGAGAGTTTAAGATGACCGACCCAGATGAAGTGGCAAGACGTTGGGGAGAAAGGAAGAGTAAACCTAACATGAACTATGACAAGCTCAGCCGTGCACTCCGCTACTATTATGACAAGAATATTATGACTAAAGTCCATGGCAAGCGCTATGCTTATAAATTTGACTTTCATGGGATTGCTCAAGCCCTTCAACCACATCCTCCAGAATCAACAATGTACAAGTATCCTTCCGAACTTCCCTACATGAGTTCTTATCACACGCACCCTCAGAAGATGAACTTTGTTGCTCCTCATCCTCCAGCTTTACCTGTGACATCTTCCAGTTTTTTTTTTGCAGCTCCAAACCCTTATTGGAATTCTCCAACCGGAAGTATTTATCCCAGTAGCCGACTCCCAGCAAGTCACATGTCATCTCATCTTGGCAGTTACTACTAAATCTCAAGAAAAGACATTACTGTGGATTATCATTCACCAGGGACTCTGCCAGGTGATCATGATGAGTTACCCGTGCCTTTTATTTAACAGGTGCATAAAAAAGTGGCAGATAGGCCAAAAACACAAAACTTTTTCTAGAAGTTAAAGACACAAAATTTTACTAACGAAGTTCAAATGCCAAAGATGTAACTTAGGAGACATCAGCATTGGACCAATATGTATTCTCGGTTCGACTTTTACTAGTTGAAGTCTATGATGGATTTACCAGAAATGACGGTGAGATCTTCCTTATAAACTTTTTGTAAAAAAAAAAACAAACGTAAATAAGAAAACTATATGCTATATACAAAAGTGTGGACTATCATAATATAAATTCTGTAGTGCAAACTACCTGTATTTAAGAATACAAGTATACAATCAGGATCATCGAAGCAAAAGTAGTATCAGTACCACAATGTCAAGGCAAAATTTTGACAAAATTTCACTTGAGGAAAAAAAAAAAAACTTTCTGGCAAACTGTGAAGACTTCCTACATTCCTTGATATATCTGAAAGAAAAGTATGAGCCATTTTGGTGGAACAAAGAAAGTGCTTAGAAGTAATTATGCTCAAGAAGGTTTATAAGCAGATGTCGAAGAGAAGGGTGAAATGTAATGGAAAGATTTGTCTTGTTCACTGAAAGCTATTGAAACGACAGAGGGCTTGACAATACAGGGACATATGTTTTTGAGACTTCTTTGAGAAATGTTACAGCAGTATTAATACCGCCATCAGTATTACTGAGAACAAAATGATACAGTTGAAATGGTATAGATTAGAATAGTTATCTTTAATGATATAAAACTGGAATTGTCTGATATTTAAAAAGGAAAATCAGGACCTCATTTGTAATGTACAATACACAACACCCGACTTTTTTTTCAGAGATGCAATGGCTGATTTAAGAGAAGTGAAAACAACCAGAATTCTTTTCATTTTTGTCTTTTTTTTTTAGAAGGCCAGGTCCATTTATAAACATATCGAGTGCAGAATGATGGTCAAATTTTAGCACACCGCAAAAATACAATTATAGCAGTTCACATCTAGTCATTGCTAAATGTAACTTTTTTTTTTTTCAATGTGTTGCCCATGGCAGCAAGAGAATTTAATATGGCACTGATATTGGAAGCAATACTCGTTGGTGGAATCCGATCAACCTTCTCCAATTTTATTGCCAAAGCTCTCAGGGTGGATTTTGTACACATTTTTTTATTGTAATCTTTGAGGGATTAAGGATTGAATATTAAGTAAGTTCCCTCATTGCTACAATCTGAACTTTTGTTGTTGTTTGTTTTTATAAGCAGGCGCCAGTTTTATTTGAGTCGCGAACGCTGTGCGTTCGTCAGGTTGAAGTATACAAGTCAATGGTATTTTTCATTTTTATATAATTATATAAGTTATGCATTTATACACTACGAGTTGAGCTCGGCCAACCAAAGAAACACAGAAGGGACACGTTGAAACTTTAAGACAAAAAAAAATGTTGTGGCCTTGAATTTAAACTCTGTATGCTTGATGTTTACAATACGAACCATTAGTACTTAGAAATGCAGTTTTTATGCAATACAATAAGCTTGGCCTAGCATGGCAATTCAGATGTAGACTGTAGTTTGCATTATGCGTTTTTATTTTATATTGACCAAGATGCCCATCTCATTTTTTTAAACATGTATCTGTGGCATTTGGGAATATACATTCAATTTACAAAAAAAAAAAAAACCCTTTCAACAACTTAGAGAAGCCCAAGACCAAATTAGTAGTGTCATGTGATGTTAGGAATTTAGGTAGATTAAACAATATACAGTTTTACTATTTCTTTTTATCTCTCACTATATAAAAAACAGGAAGGTAAAAAGGTTTCATTTGGGGTTCAAAATGATCTTTAATTTTTTTTTTATGTTATACTTCCATTATAATTTTTTTTTCTTGTTTCCCGGTAGACTGCAGTTTTCACCCAAAGTTTTCCCTTGTAAAATATGTAAGCCATCCCTTGAAAGCTGCTTTTGTGGAACCTCTGCTTTATGGGCATGTGTTTGTTCAAGGGCAACTGAGACAATTACTATATAGTCGTAAAGAAGGAAGTAATGACAACTGCATCATAAGGCAGTTTCCTATGGAAGCTCTGTTGTATCTTCATGTGCTAATTGCCACACATTTCCTTTTTAAAGAAGCTGTAGCTGTGACCAAAAAGGCAAACACTAGTCACTAATATTGCATGGGACCTTACTGTAGATGGTCTTTCCCCATTACGGACTTACTATGTCTTGTTTCATACTGTATCTCTGTGTAGAGGCGGCCATCTTGGCAGAGGTATGGCTTTGCTTCCACATGTCAGTAACTCCAGCAAGGAGAACAGTGAGCAGCACAGTAATGACACCACCAAATCCACTCCATATCTCCTAAGTCTAGCAATCAGGGCCAGCAGTGCCTTATAACTCACACTGCAGATATACAGCTATTAGGCCAAGCATTACTAGGCACACTTACATACCAGCAAGTGCACTGCTACGTTTCAGGAGAAATTCCAGGTAGAGTTCTCAGGGTACTCCTTAGGCACAATTAACATTTCTAGATATTCCCTATAACACAGTTCAGATTCACCTGTATATGTACACCTGGTTGTGGATGTGAACTATACTTGTGCTGTCAAGCTAGATAGCATCAGTCTAATATATTTTTTTCTCCAGTTATTACTGTTTATGTCACCATAGGAAGAATGGTGAATTCCAGCCAATGTAAATCATGCATAAGGTCCCCCTTTTTTAAATTTTTTTTTATTTTTGTTTTTAAAATACAGCAGCGCTTTGGTGCATTGTTTCCAACATTTCTTTCATAAAAATGAAAAGTCAGTTAGCACTGACCACGCATACACCACTGTTTTATCACATAAAGAGATCACATGGTCTCCCCCCTAGTAGCAGAGACAAATGAATGCAGAATGGGAACTGGGCAAGGTAGCCACTCCCCCACATACATCTCCTTAACATTGATAAGGGTTGCAATGGACGCAAATAGTCTATCCTATATGTTTTGTCTATAATGGTATGGCCCAATCAGACACAAGGGGTTGATTTACTAAAGCTGGAGAGTGAAAAATCTGGTGCAGTTGCGCATGGTTGCCAATCAGCTTCTAACTTCAACGTGTTCAATTACAACAAAGTGTTACTAAACCCAGGACCCTGCATTCACTATATCTGGTCTCCCACAGTACACAGAACATGGAAATGCAATTATTTTTGTAAATATAAACTGCTAAATACCTTTTCTCATCAGCAGTCTTGTGACTTTTATCAGTGTCCAGCAGAACACTGGTTAAAGCTTGTAGGAGGAGTTTTAATTCTCTCCCTGATTGTCCTATGAGGTTGCAGGACCCCTAACCCTCTATCTGGACAGTGCTGATTGGCCCTGTGCTGATCGCATGCACCCTCCCCAAAAAAAATATCTAGCAATACACACCAAACTGAGCATGTGCAGCTTGCCCCAAGGCTTTTTTCTATCAGTAGATGGATTGGGGACAGTAGAGGAAGGGGAGGATCAGAGAAGACAGGATCAAACATCCTTTTTTTACACAGTGCAGAGGATTAACTCCTTAGGTTCTACAGTGAGTATAACAAGCATGCTTTACTGCATATACAGACTGATTTTACTGCTGTGGGTTTAGTAACACTTTAAGCTTTGATAATAAAACCTGGAAGCTGATTAGTTTCTATGCAGAGCTACACCAGATTTTGCACTCTCCAGTTTTAGCAAATCAACCCTCAACTGCATACAAATATATCCTCCCTTGTGGAGTGGTAGGAAGAAGATGCACAGTTTTGACCTGTTACACTATAGCTGCCCCATAGACGTTAAGGTAGCCATGTTGATGACACAACGCTGCATAGTAGAAGTCATTTTATGAAATGAATTACCATTCTGTCTTTTCACTGAGAGCTACAATTGGTGTATTAGGGATAAGTAGAACTATTTCAGCAAATTGCAGCAGACAAATTACCATTTTCACCATCCGTGATATTTTAAATTTCATTAATTGAACTGCTTAGTTGAATTTGCTTGACAAAAAAAAAACGTTTCCCCTTATTTAGAATGTGTGTTTTTGGGGTGTATTCAGGGTAGTTTAGTTTATTTAATTTAGTGTTCTTTGTTTTTGTGTATTTGTATTAGATTGTTGTTGGTGTATGTTTTTCTGCCATCTTTTTTATTATTTTTTCTGTGAAAAAAAAAAAGTCAGATAAGGAAACTAATGTGGGGCTATTTTTGGCACAAGAACAGGTCCAGGATAGTTAAAAGGAGCTTCTGTAACACTTGGGAGTCATTTAACGACCACTGAACCATTAAAATATGCCAAAAACCTTTATTTTGCCATTCCCATGTGTTTCACCTAAATGGTGAAATTTGGCCAAAATCTTACAAGTCTTACCAAAACTTTGACAAAAATAAATCTTGCAGTTTAGCTCATCCTATTTTAGTGTTTGCTTTCTTAGATAAATGCCTAAGTGCTATGTATTTCCCCTATACCAAATAGTCAAACTGTTTTTAAAAGAATAAATATTTAAATTCTTCTGTACCTTACCTTCCGATTTAGAGACAAAATCTGATTTAGAAACAGAAATAATGACTTTTTTAACAAAATAACAACTTGAACACATTTGCATGTGTAGTAATGTGAATATTCCCATTTTCTATCCCCCAAAAAGCATATTACGAGTTAAATGCCAATACATTCGCAGAATTAATTGAATAATTGAAATGGCTTTAAATTGTTTCTAAGCAAAATTGTCCTAACAAAAAACATATAAAATGCCAGCCTATAAGAGTATGTAATACTATATATAAAAAATATATAGACATGGTCAATATTTAGTGTTAAATGCAGCCCGTCCGTAGTCTGCATCAATTTTTCAATTAATTGTTTCAATCCCACTGGAAAGATTTATATGTCGATGGGCTTTTCTTCATGTCAGAACTACTTCTCTGGGAATGCAAACGTAGCTTGAAGCAGAGATAATACAGGTGCAGCGCTCAGGATAGAGGTAATATCATACAAATGTCAGCAGAAAATATATAATGTGCAAATATTGTTATATAGAGCACAATATAGAGAATATAATTAGTGATCACAAATCAATATAATGTCCAGTTCCCAGAGTTGCGTATAAATGTGAAAATACGTGATCCAAAGGTGAAAAGAGTTGAATAAGTGAATGCGCACTCACCAGAAGTGCGTATTAAATACGCATAAAATAAATTTTTTTTGTCATCAGATACATCTAGGTCAGGGGTGTCCAAACTTTTTTCAAAGAGGGCCAGATTGGATGAAGTGAACATGGTGGAGGGCCGAACATTTTTCCGAACATTCTTTAAACCATTACAATTAACTGCAAATAAATTATTTTATGCCAAGTTAATTGCAAACGACATACTTTTCATTTCATAACAACATTAAGATCAACTGACAGCTGAGTTTTCACAATGTATTGAAAATTAATTTAAAAAAAAAACTTACCTGCACTAATGTGAAGGGTGAAAAAGATAGCTGGAGCTGAAGTCTCTGCTCGGCAGCTGGGAGGGGAAGAGAAACACACTTCACGCTGGAAGCCCGGCCCTGACGTCACGCATGCGCACTGCTCTCAAGCAGAAGACTGTCTGCCACAGAAGGGAGGGCCGTGCGACAGCCGCATTTACACAGACCAGGGAGAATGCGCCGCAGTCAGGCATGCGCACTGCCCTCTGCTCTCAAGCAGAAGACTGTCTGCCATAGAAGGGAGGGCCACATTACACAGAGCAGGGAGGGCTGTTGGAGGGCCGTATTAAACTGACCCCCGGGCCGTAAATGGGACATGCCTGATCTAGGTCATCTGCGTTCTGGTCAGGCCGCATTCCCTAACATCCCTAACATCCTTTGGTCATCTATTATAGCCAGGCTCCAGGGTCCATCAAATCATCACAGAACATCCGGGGTCCCCCTTTTTAGGGTAGGTACTGCGGGTGGTGCTCATAAAGAGAGCCCAATAAGGGACACCACATAGTGTGATACTGTATAGGTGAATGTTTATTTCAAATGTAGGTAGCAAGCAAAAATAATTACTGACCGTAAATTCAGGATGGCCACCTGCGGTGGCTAGATGTCCAAGTGCTGTAGCCCCCATTTATAGTAGCGCTCGCTACACAACCTATACTCTAGTAGCTTGAAGCAGGTTGATGCAGCTTAGAAAAAGATCAAAAGCAAGTCAGAAGGAGGTTACCTGCAGCTCAAATGTATCGGTCAGTGAATTCTGAATAATCTCAGAACCATCTCAAACAGATCTCAAATGCAATTGGAATGCAAGCTATATTTGCCCTGAAAGGGAAACTATAGACTATTTTCAGTGAGTCAGAACACAACTGGGACAAGGTGACATACTTGGAAATTGTATTTCATGTAGGCATCGGTCAATGCTCCCTCTAGTAGGTATTTGTATATCAGGCAGTGTGATTAGCATCCCTGCTGAATGACTGTTGATATAAGCTCAGTTGGCCTTATTAAGAATTTTTGTTAGGCCTGAGTCATAGACTTGCACAGAGAAGGAGGAGCAGTGAAGCATAGTCAATGTACATAAAGGTTTATTGTCCAAATGGTGAAATATGGCACTTGTGGCTACCTTCCAAAGTAGTGTGTCTGAGGAAGGGTTATGTTTAGCCCAAAACTGTGAATAAATCAAGATTTGAGTGCTGCAACCAATTTTAATCCTTTCTGTTATCGATAAAAGAATGTTGAGAACAGACTTCTGCACTTTGGATTACTAATAGGTGCACTGTTCACACACACACACATATATATATCTTGAACTTGCAATTAAGCCATACCTGCCCCAATGCCACTCCCTGTGCCCACCAGAGCTATGTTAAATATCTGGTACTTCCACATATGGGGGAGTATATGCCTATCCCCCCATCCTCCCGTAATGCAGCACTGGATGCCTGAGTGGTAGGTTGCCAGTTAGTCATGTGGGAGGGAAGAGTCCTTATCCTTGTGTAAGCTCTGACCAGATTTTCTTAGATCTTACACAATACTTTATTCATGGGTCTGGCAGCTTGTGTGGATAAAGCAAAGTGTCTCTTTTAAGCAGATCTAGCTCTAAAAAGCAGGGTTCGCTCGTTACATCAGGGATCCAAAACCGATACAAAGTCACCCCATTAAAGTATAAAATAAAGCATCTTTGGAAAAAAAAAATAGTAAATATACCCATCTTACCATTGGCTTATGCACTGAAGAGGGTGTTGACACAATCCTTCTGATGAGATCAGGGGCGGACTGACCATTTGGAAACTCGGGCACTGCCTGAGGGCCCGGGGTCAGTAGGGGGCCCCATGAGATGCCAACGGTACCTTTTTCATAGGCTTTTTTGAGTTTGGGCAAGGACACAGGGGCCTCATGATCCCCTATTTCCCGGGGGCCCCATGAGTTGTCAGTCCGCCCCTGGATGAGATCCTAGGAATTCCTGAGTATCCCAAGTCTTGGGAGGTGATGCTTCTGCAAACTGTCCAAGAGTCACGATCCTCCATGTTATTAGAATCTCACCAGAAGGGTCATGTGGTTACACACCTAGGCACTCCAGGCGAAGTTAGTACTCTATGGGGTTGATTTAGCAAAGGAAAATAGACTATGCACTTTAGAAGTGCAATTGCCCTGTGCAAGGGCAGTTGCACCTATTTTTGTAAATGCGATGTGGTGAAGCTTCATTTTGTAAAGAATAACCAGTCAGGTACAAGTAAACTAAAAAAGGCTTGCACATGATTGGATGATGGAAATCAGCAAAGATTTTTAATACATTTACTAAACTCGGGGGAAAATTAGTACAACTGCATTTGCAGAGTACATAGTTTATTTGCCTTTAGTAAATCAACCCCTATTACAAAACAAAAATAGGAAGAAAGCGCACCAGCCTGGTGCATTACCATAGGACTCTTTAATGAATAAAAAAAATAAATGCCAAACTACTCACAATGTCAAGTGCATCCAACAGGCCACCCAAAGCATTTCCATCCACAAGGGCGCAGCTTACATGTTTCAAGGGCAATGCCCTCTTCCTCAGAGCTCAAATCCATACCTATCCTTTCTAATTTTATTTCCCAAAGGTGCTTTGTTTTACACTTTAATTTGGCAATTCTAATGATCCTTTCAATGCCGGCCTGAATTAAACATCGCACACAGAAACAGGGTTTTAAACATTAACACTTATAGAGAACATTATTTAAATTAGGTTATCACATTCACATACAGATTTTTTTTTTTTCATCTAAAAATACTTTTGTTTTCCTTTAATTAAAAAAGAACAAATGAAGCAAGGGCTCAAATCTTCATGCAGACTAAAGGGTATTCAAAATACCAAACAGTGAGGTGCAGCCCTTCAAAGATCAGGAAATCTAGGTGTAGGTGAGCAAAAGCAAACAAGGGCGCACTCTCGTCATGCATTTCCGTGGTACACCACGTATTTATTGAAAAAACATATACATATATACTCTCAAACTAAAAGAGAATAAAAACAGAACAGGTAGTCCGCAATTTCAGTCCAAT